ACCTGCGCGTGTAAGTTTGAGAGCGATTTTCTCGGCAGGGAAGGCATGCTGTGCAACCGGGATTGCACTGTTTTCAAACTTGGGCGATAAGGAACCCACCGCGTTGAAATCCTGAGTAGTTGGATTTTGCCGATCCACTGCCTTTAACTGGCTACAATATTAGCCAATTCTGGGTAATCATCTTTTTAAACCAAGAAGGTCTTTTTCGAAATTTTGTTCATGATTCGAAAGCTTGAGAAACGAGTAATCTAATTTTTTTCCTTATTATTCTCTCTAGTGAAAGGAGATATGGTAGGAGTCTTGTCAGTTGACATGCATCCATCACTAGATTTTCTAATGCTCAACTCTTTCTTGCGACAGTGTGTATTCATGGATACAATGACTATTCAAAGAAATAGACATCCTTTAGTTTTTATTATGTTTCGTTATCAACGCCACTTCAATTGCGCAGAAGGTCTCAAGCATGCATTTTTTCAGCAAAACGCTGTTGCTTCGATACTCTCTTGTATCTTGATGTCTGAGGAGAAGAGCAGCTGGCGTTTCCTTTACAAACAAAAAGTGCCGCTGTAACAGCTGTTTGATTCTGCCGTTATGCCTTGATTCTAGTCTCAACTTCAGGTGAAAGGGTCAGCCAGATGAGGGGATCCTAAAGTGAAGGGGGGTCAGAGAAATTTCTCCACCTATCGCATCTATGATCTTAAGTGTTACGGTCACGGCGCAGCAGCGGAGTGTCTGTGGATGGATTTCTCAGCCGTGAATGAATTGTTTGCGCTGCGGTTTCGGCAGTACCTTAGCTAGAGCCTCCTCGACAGCTTCCAGGCAAAAAACCCGTTTTCCAGATTTGCGTGGACACTGCCTTCAAAGACATCCACCCGCCCGAACCGGACATCCTTCTTGCTCACAAGTGAATGGTCAGATATCGAAGTGGCCAATCCAAACAAGGTGCATATTATTGAATGCAGCATGGAATGCTGACCTCAGATCTATCTTCCTTATCTGTCCTTATCTATCCTTATCCTTATCTTATCACTTTCGTGAACGAAGCTATGAGCCGTTTTATTGCGAAAAAAAATGCATATAAAATTGCAAAAATGAGCACGTTATGGCCCATTTAGCTCAGTTTGGGTACAAGCTAAACAAAGCAACCTTGCTGCATCCCGGCCCAGCATTCACCCGGACATGGCTCTGCACGACCAAATTTGGACTTTGCACGGACAACTTCTTAGCACGATAATGGCTCATAACGGCTAATAACTTCTTTCAGAAGTTGATAAGCAGATAGGGAAGACCAGCGTTTCATGCTGATTCTAAGGCCTAAGGCACACCTCCCCCGATTCCAGTCGCATAGCGATTTCCAACTCGGATATGTTTCAAGTCTGTAGCGCACGCTCCCTCAACTGTGTAGTTCCGCCGCGTCTGTGTTAGCTTGACGCTGCGAGCGATCGCGGGCCTCTTTGGACGGGCATACCCTCAGCAGGGATATCGTTGCGACATTGCTCAAACTCAGTGATGTCGCCGTCACTGGTTCTGCAACAGCGATGGGCGATTCGCTTGGATGGCTTCTTCTTTGTGATTTGTATTTTTTTGCAAATGCGAACCTCATTCAGAACTATTCCATCCTACACAAGCGCTTCCTTTCTGCATGAGAAAAGGATGGTCATCGAACATTCCATGTTATTAATCATTGAAAACGACACATGCGAAGTATAGGGCTTATCAAACGCAGTGTCGCTTGCATCAGCATCTCTTCCGCGCTCGACTCTGCATCTCTTCTACTCAAACATGCTCTCAGATCACTTTCCTGGCGAGCGTGGGAAAGGCGGAGCCTCAATCGACTGGAAGCAGGGTCAAGCGTGTTGATGCGGTCCGGGACCCTCATTTACGACCCCCCCCTTGAAGGTACCCATCCGTACAATCCCCCCCCCCCCTCCTCCCTCCCCCCACCCTCCCCCATTTATCCCCCTTACCTCCCCGCCCACATTCCTCGCGGTAACCTGCCTAAACAAATGTCAATCTCAAAAAACACCTGCGTGAGAACTTCAGTGAGGTTTTGGAAGCAGAATTTCTAGGCCAATGGGTGCGTCCAGCATCTGTAGCACACACACACACACCCTCAATAATGTTTGAGAATCTGCAAGCTTTTTTCTTAATTTTCAGGCATACTTCAGACCAGCAAATTCGATTTCCATAGGCGACACAAATTTTTGCAAGGAGAAAAAAATGGCATTCCTGAACCACAGAAGAGTTTTTTGACTAAGAAGCTTACTTCCTACCTTATCCAAAGTTTTTTCCGCGAAAAACCTCTTGAGCGCCGTCCAGAACAACGTCAAAAACGTGCATGAGCACGGTAGTTTGAAAATTCTTAACTAAGGCCAGGAAAAGACTGAGAGGCTGCAAAGCACAGGTTCTGTAGTACTGTGACCAGACTATCCATAGAAAAAGTTTTAGCTCTTGAGGAGCAGTAAGCTCGAAAAAATTTAGATGCGACTCTCGCAAATTTAGATGCGATCCTAAAAAGCAAAAACTGGGATTTTTGAGCTTAAAATTTTGTAACTTACCAGAGAAGTTATAAAAAAGCCTGCAATTTATATGAGGGAAAGTAGGAGGTTGGCCACATATTACAGCAGAATTGCAGCCAACAAGCTTCAATAGCTCCGAAGAAATTTAGATGCGACCCAGATACGACCCTCCTTTCCTGATTTTTTGCTACCATACATAAAATTATAAGAAAATCCACAGTTGACAAAATAACACCAAATTTTGCACTGATGTAGCGGAGCATTTTCAAAGTACAGATAAATCATATGGGCCCGTGAAAAACATTACAAAAAGATTTAGAAATTTATGATGGTCACAGCTGATAAAGATATTCGCTTTTGTCGAGTGTGTGAGACTTCAGGAGGGCTTCAGAAGCAAGAGTTCTAGGGCAATCGGTACATTTAGCATTTTTATCAAGTCATACATCCTTCAAAAGTGTTTTGAGCTCTTGTAAATTTTTTTTGAGAATTTCTACAGATTTTTACCTTTTTGTTCTGATTTCCACTTTTTTATAGATTTATTGTAAAGAACATAACTAATTATCTGCTTTTTGATTCCCTTTTAAGCTTAGGGTATTTTAGCCTAACTACCTTCTCTTACGACTCCCCCCCCCCACCTTAGGTACTTTCTTTGCGACCCCCCGTTGCGACAGTCGCATCGCAAGCTTGACCCTGATTGGAAGTGATTAGAGAGCATGTTCGCGGAAGAAACGCAGAGTCCAGCGTGGGAGTGGAGATGCTGATGCAAGCGACATTGCGTTTGGTAAGCCCTGTATATAGTATGGAATGCTTCTCTTATGGCAACACAAACTCTGTGTTACCATTTACTGTTCTCGCAATGCACTACTTCTTCTGTTCTTGTTTATTAGTAAAAAAATAAATGGTGACGAATCTCGAATGTTCTTGCTATAATTTCTGAGGCAGAATAGAATTCAATATCAGTTGCCCAGGCATATATGTATGATCGTTCGCAGACTGGCAGACAAGAACTCGCGCAGCACTCGTTGAAATATGCCTATCTAGTGTTTTTTTACAGAGCCGAAAGCATGCCCTTACCGTTACGAAGCTAACGTATATGCCTACAACTGACCGAATGAGACTCAAAACTTTATGAACCAATCGTCGATTTCATTGCAGATGTCAACTTGCGCCGGTAGAACGTCGGGGTAAATACTGGGATAAGTGTGAATCCATATCCTTTCTCGTTTGATGTAATGTTTTCTGAAAGCATATGGCGTCACATTCTGTTCAGATTTTTTTTGAATAGGCACTTCAGACAATTTAGCGCAAATTTTTCATAATGCGTATAGTGCGGTGGTGTGTGAGCGTCTACGAAATCGCTTTGGGTATGTCCGGTAATCAAGAGATGAGCGAATTTCAAGCAGTGAACGTTCGCCCAGGCAGTCTAGTCGCAGGATTGAAAATCGTAACGATGGGATCGCTGGAGATATTCCTTAGGCCTAATGGTAAACAGCTTGTCTGGATTAGCCACTTCGACCTTTGACCATTCCCATGTCAGGCATATGCCCTCCATATCTAGCATTTACTTGTATATATGCTTATTTTTTCTATGGGACTGGAAGAAGTATACTTTTCTTTTGCCAGAGTTATGCTGTGATGTTCCCACATTATAGTACTATATATTGGAAGTATAATCATGAATCTTCAGCCTTCTGCAAATTTTAGTTTTTAGTAAAAATCAAATGCAGTTCAAAATACCTCGTAGAAGGTGAGATTATCCCTTCTTTGGCCTATTTTGCCCTATTCGTGTTTTTCTGGTCTGAGAAATGAAAAAAAACATTGCAAATGTGCATATAAACCCCAATGTAAATATTATACCCTAAACAAGCAGTCAGAAATTTTCTCAGCAAGGATATTGTTTTTTCTTGATATTACGAGCATGCAGATCCTTTCAGATTTTGTCTAACTTCAGGTGGAACAAACTTTGTGCAATGTCTGAGTATTATCTTGTAGAGCTTGATTCTATTGAGAGATTCTATTAAGAATTACCACGAAACCATTTTAGAGAGTAGAATATGACTAATCGGGGAGGGGGAGGGGGAAGGGATTAAAAACTGTAAATGAGACAACCTAATCTAATCAAACTTCAAGAAGAAAATCAACAGATGGAATGCTTTCACCAAATTCGACAAAAAAGAAATTGAACGAACTTTACGAAAAAAGAAATCGGGTGCATCTAACTTGATATTAGCATTCGTCTGCACTTCTTTGCACTGTTTCTGCGCTGTTCCAATGAGTTCAAAGTGCTTTAGTTGGAAGTACGTTTTGTATATACAATTCTCTCATGTGAAATCAAAAGTCTGTTTAATCGAACAGTACTTTAGTAAAAGCGTTTGTGTGATAGTCAAACAACTTCTCCAGAAGTGAGCAAATAAAATCTCCCTACGTGGAGTTTGCAAACACCTTTCAGAGGAAAGTTCTAGAAAACTGAATATAACTGACTAGACATTTCTGGCCTCATAAGCATCCATATTCATCGATTCATTCAACTTCATGAGCAAAGCTTCCATTGTACTCGCTGTGCTGCAACAAAAATTCCGACAGAGTACATAAATAGACCTCAAAAAAATAGCTCAATTGTGACATTTCTGCAAATCTTTGGCAAAGGAAGGAAATAAAATTAGCCGAGCACGCAACGAATTTGTGGACTGTCTATTGACCGTTGAGCTTGCAAGATTGACCGAAGGTAGTGAAAGCATAAGAGGAAGCATATTCGATTATCACGCCAAATTGCCACATTGACAGTTGACCTCGGTTGAGCCTACTGTTTACTTTGTCAATAAACATGAGCTGCGATTGAGTGAAGGTTGAATGTGACAACTAGAAAATCAATGGATCAAACCGACTGATTTCATTGCTGTAAGAAATGTTGCGTTGATAAGATATCGTCTTTGAAAAAGTCTTTATAACTGTTCATTCATGTTGGTTGTAAAAGCCAAGAGACTGCATGCCATTTCCGACAGCCAGTTCGCTGAAGTCGTATCTTTCACAAGAAAGCAAATACTACGAAATGACTAAATAAATGTAATATGGAAAAACATAGTTGATTGTGAAGTCAAGACTTGAAGAGCCAAACAGCAGACTACTGCTGTCACTATCGAAAGTTGAACAGCTTCACCTTAAAGTTTGCAGTTTTAGATTCAGCTGCGCAGTCCGAGGCAGTTTTAGGTCACTGCTTCTACATGAAGTGTGAGTAAGACAATTCCATGGGCATTCTCGCAGCGCTTCTCTTAACATTATTTTTTAAATCACAACTTTATCTATAGCAAAAAGTAGCAAGATTCCATGAGTCAAGTAAAGTTTCTCACCTTTGCGCGGGCACGCTTCCAGTGTGCATAGTCTCCAGTAGATTGCCCTTGAACTCAGATTATAAAGTACAAGGCTCGGCACAGGTGGCTTATAAGCAAGCTGGATATCGTTTTTGGGGCAAAAAGCAAAGAAAATTCGTTTTTATGGCTGAAAAAAACACAATTTAGATTACGTTTTTTAGTCGACGTTTCGTTTTCTTTGAGTTTTTTACGTTTGTGCTATAGTTAAAGGGGACTTCGTAAAATTTTGGGAAATTCAAGTGAATTCGTTTTTTGCATTTTTGGAAAGCCACCTGAGAAAGTACTAGCTAATATACGCGGCTCCGCTTCCCTGTCGACAATATAGAAATCATTTTGTCTCACTTCTTTACAACATTCTCCTGCTTGTGACATCCTTCTATATGCGAGCCTTGCCTCCACTGTGTTTACGCTACAGCATGCCCACTTACCCTTCCCCCCCTTTCCCGGTACCATCTCTCAGCGTGCTAGCTCAGAGTTTGCAAATAACGAATCGAAAATTGATGTAATCGATATTCTCCCCGACTTTTATTGATTTTGTAATCAGCATATTCACTTACGAATCCATACTTTGGTGTAGACTCAGTAAATCGATGTTGATAACGAAAAAAAACACCCATGACATGCGCTCTGCCCCGAAGCGCATACTCAGATAATCGCCGGGGACAGCTCAGATAATCACCGGGGGCAGGCAGTCCGCAAACTCGTGCTTTTCTGCAAACGGTCAGCAAAACTTTGGGGCGTGGCCATAGTTGCGATAGGGGGAGTGATGGATCTTACCCCCTTCACTTTGAGGCCAAACTCCCGATGACCCCCTTCACCTGGGCTGAGATTGGTATTGTACTCTGAGAATATGATAAAAATCGTTATTAAAACGTTTTGCAGGCTAAGTACCTCAAACAACAACTACACTCATAAATTTACAAAAGAAACGGTACTTGTGTTTATTTATATTATTTATCTATCCTCGTAGCATTCATTTGGAGAGCAGAAAATGAGGACAAAAAAGCAGTTGGTTTTTGGAGTACATAAAATCCCTCATATCTCGCGACACAGAAGACCTAGAAAAAAGTCGACGGTCTACGTCGATTCTCCATGATCTCAGCTTTCGAATGGTATACAGCATGTTAGGGCTTCTTTGCTTCCCGGCTCTAAAAATCATTTGCTCCGGTAACCGATAAAAGCCAATACATTGGTGGAGCTGGGTGGAGCAAGCTAATAGTAAATATCTCCACCCCATTTTTGAAAACTGGTTAGTTTTTTCGCCCAGCAACCTATATACCATTCGAAAGCTCAGGAAAAGGGGATTCGACCTAGACCGTCGACTTCTTTCTAGCCCCCCTCTACCGAGAGATACACCGCATTTTATCTGAAAACATGGTCATTTTCAGCAGCAGATTTCTGCCAAATGAAGACCTAATCACTGCTGATTATCATCCTATGTTAAAGAGCAAGTCTTCATTAACAAACGTAGACCGTCGACTTTGTCGTAGAATTCATTTGGAGAGCAGAAAGTGAGGACACAAAACCAGTTAATTTTTTGAAGCACATAAAATCCCTCATATCTCGCGACACAGAAGACCTAGAAAAAAGTCGACGGTCTATGTCAATTCTCCATGATCTCAGCTTTCGAATGGTATACAGCATATTAGGGCTTCTTTGCTTCCCGGCTCTAAAAATCATTTGCTCCGGTAACCGATAAAAGCCAATACATTGTAAGAGCGAGGTGGAGCAAGCTAATAGTAAAAAATGTGCTGTGGATTGACATCGTTATCAGCACTAACTTGAACGCGAGCAAACGCGTGTATTTAAAAGTGCTTATCGTTGTTATATGTTTATGTTTTTTGGTAAAAAATGCGCTTTTGATTGACAGTTGTTCCATCATTATCAGCACATACTCAAAAAACTATGGGAGATTGGTGAATTTCCACACCTTCACACAAAAACCTGCCCATTTCTGGAATCTATACTCTGTAAAACTAGTGTTGAAGAAGGTCACGTTCGTGAAAACGCTCTAGACTCACCTAATTGTAGAGAATGGTTGGTTTCAATAAATCAAAAACTTTGAGGCATTCAGAAGAACAACATGTTATTAAGATACAATACCGCTCATAATTCGTCAAAAAAGTCGCCGAACTGCGGCGCACTCCGCCACACTCCGCCACACTGTGGCGGAGTGTGGCGGAGTGCGCCGCAGTTCGGCGACTTTTTTGACGAATTATGAGCGGTATTGTATCCTTCAATGTTTTGGAAAGGTTGGCAGTTTGAAGAAGAAGCGGCAGGCAGACTACTTCACAAAATCGCAGATGACTCGCATGTGTTCCAGTTCAACAGCGAGGAAGAAGGAGAATCTTACGCCGACGAATATGTTGTCGACATTGATACAGAGTTGACATTTGAGCGAAACTCTCTGTTTCGTACATCAGAAATCCAAGCAGACTGCCTAATTTCAACGAGGAAATGTCCAAGAAGTCCATAGCTGATCTTCAGGTTGCTGAAGAATTCAAGGCTGCTAAATTCACAAACATGGATATGAACAAAAGGAAGGTGTTAGTACAAAGCATAGCTACTGCTCTTAATCCCGACTGGAGTACGAACTTGATTCTATGCTTTATGCTGCTGGAAGTATCTCACCTTGTGACAATATGACCTACGATATTGGAAAAAAAACCAACGCGCAGCATAGTATCTACTTTTTCGGCTATTCCGCAGATGCTGTTGCAGAAGAAGTTGAGCGGCTTTCTCGTCAGCTAACAAGACGTAAGCCAGAGGAGGTGAAGCCAGAGTTCGACAAGGCCCAAAAAAGTATGCAATATTTACTTCCCATATTGCGAAAGCATATGCGATCTGGCTCTTTCCCCATTACTTACCGCAAAAATCTGATGGGCTTATTAGCAAAGCTAGTTCCCATTCCGACTAGCACGGCAGAGGTGGAGAGGGGATTTTCTATCTACTCTGTTATTAGAACGCAACGCAGAACTCCTACAACGGTGGAGCATCTAAGCAATTACTTAAGATTTGTCAACCTTCTATTGAACATATTGTTGTCTATAAACTTCATTTAAATGATTGCTATAAGTGGTCCAGACAGGCTGTCATCGTACGACTTTTTGAACTATCCTAAAAGATGGTGTGAAGAAACTGGTCAGCTACCTGCTGACTTCCTGGTGCTACCAGAGGGCCAGGAAAAAAACACAAAAGCGCTTAGAAGGAGAAAAACGTTTCAAATCCATTTTCGACTCAGAACGCCTTTTGACGCAATTCTATTTCTACTCCGATGATCTTTTGAAGGAAGAAGAAGAACTTTCAGGCAGCGATTTTGTTGTCTCTGACGTTAGCGATAGTGATATTGTTGATGATGACCTGCAGGAATTGTAAGTTGTTCCTAACTTGTACATCTTTTGGAATACCTTATTGCTTTCGTTTTTTGTCGATGCAATGAAATAGGAGCACAGATCTTCATAAAGTCAATTTTTTGATTTATTAGGTTTAACCGAAAGTTCTTTCGCACCAAATTCAAAAATTCATAACTTCTGAATTTTCCAGCCTATTGGAACGCTCTTATTTTTTTTTTGAAAGAGTAAGTCATGCTCTTTATAACGACTTCTTAGATGCTTGCTAATGATCTGTTGCGTAGATAGGAGCTGTAGAAGAAAATTAGTCAAAATTCGAATTTTCTGTGTAGGGTCATAAAAAATCGAAAACTTGCAACAAAAACCGGAGCAGTCGGTATTGTAGGTTCTTTCACCAGCTCTTTCTAACAGTGCAAAGTTTGCGCCGATTGAGCGTCTCTACGAAAAGTTACAATTTCCCTGAAAAATGCCAAAATAAACCAGAATCATCCTTTTGTATTACTTGCTCGAAAATCGTAACTTTTCATAGAAACGTTCAATCGGCGCAAACTTTGCACAATTAGAAAGAGCTGGTGAAAAAACCTACAATACCGACTGCTCCGATTTTTGTTGCAAGTTTCCGATTTTTTATGACCCTACACAGAAAATTCAATTTTTGACCAATTTCCTTCTCCCCTATCTGTGCAATAGATGATCATTAGTAAGCAATTGATGGTCTTTATAAAGAGCATGACCTACTCTTTCATATTGCGGTCCAATTGGTTAGAAAATTCAGAAATTATGAATATTTGGATTTGGTGCGAAAGAACTTCCGGTTCAACCTAATATTATTTTTTTTTAATTCTGGAAAATTTTTTTCAATTTGTACCTAAATAAGGTACAAATTAGAGCACTTCATACCACGCTTTTTTACCTTTTCTCTCTCCCTCCCCCCCCCCCCCCAGGCTCACATACCCCCTTCACCTGGAAGGTCGGAAACAGCCGAGACCCCCTTCACCTGGGGAGAGCCCGGCTCCCCCTATCGCACCTATGGGCGTGGCCAAGCCTACGGCGAGCGGTACTTTCGTCTTCTGCCAGCGGGCAGCAATACAAAAATGTGCAAGCGCTCGTCAAACAATCTCATTCAGCGAGCGCGGGCCAAACTTTCAGCAGGCGCTCGGACTTTATTTACACGGTTTCGGGCGTAATAACACTCTACATAACAGAGATGTCAGTTTTACCCGAGTTTGGGTACTTTCTCTCAGCGAAAGGTACCTACCGACTGTGCGGTCCTTCACAAAAGACCGTGCGCTCCCAATATTTCTGCATATTCTCGCGGAAGGTACGCGAGAATGCGGCCAGTGCGCCGCTACTAATCTATGAAAAAGCCGCAATTGTTCTCCGTGCATTCGTCCAAAAATTTCTCCAAAATCCTTCCAAATATCTGCAAGCGGACCGCAAGAAATCAGCGGACTATTTTTTGGTGCCCGCCCGCCCATAAATCGCATGGCCGCCTGTCCCCGGCGATTATCTGACCATGGAAGGATACCAACATTAGTCGGAGATTGAAGATAAGATG